CCTATAGTCCTAACTACTATAGGGAGGCTGAGGCAGGAGGATAGCCTGAGTCCAGGAATTTGAGGTTGCTGTGAGCTATGATGATGCCACTGCACTCTAGCCAGGGTGACAAAGAGAGACCCTGTCTCCAAAAAAAAAAAAAGAAAAGAAAAGAAAAAAAATCCTTGTAAGGAAGTTTTATTTTGCTCTGTTTAAAATGAAGGATGAAGAATGCAGAGTGAAACTATAAATGTATTGAGTAGTATTTTTGAAAGATGAAACTGCTAATTATTATGAAGGATGAATGAGAGAAGGAGGAGTAAGACCATTTGGGAGGTGAAGTGATGGGGCCCAGATTAAGGTGGTGGCCTTGGGACCAAAGAGAAATGCCCAGAACAGTAAGAGCCAGGGAAAGAGGAATCGCCACACTTTATCGACTCATCCAAGAGGACACGGGGAAGACAGGAAGGCTGAGGCCATGTCCTAACTCGGCAGGAAATTCCAACCTATTAGATGACTAATGCTTGACATGCACAAAGGATGAGGGCAGGGTAGCCCATGATGCACAGCTGCCACCCCTGTGCTAAGGAATGGGAGAAGGAAGAGGCGAGTTTTAAAGTGGACGTGCAGTACAGTCACTGAGCTAGGCAGACGAAGTCATGGAATTTTGATCCGACAGAGGAGAAAGGCAAACCATTTCGATTTGGAATTCCTGGGATGAAGTCTGTTGTAAGAATGCCCCAGTGCTTGCTGAAGGAATGAATTGGAGTATCATGCAACTACAGGTGCTCCTTGACTTACTTAGGGTTACATCTTGATAAACTCAGCGTAAATTGAAAATACTGTAGTCAAACATGCATTTTTCACCTTATATTTTCAATTTACATAACCCCATTGTTAAGCTGAAGAGCATAATGAATGCATATTGCTTTTGCACCATTTTAAGGCTGAAAAATTATTAAGTTAAACCATGGTAAGTAACTCTGGTAGATTAAAGAAAACTAAGAGCCTAGCACACAGCCGGACACACAGTAGGCATTCAATTCTTTTTTAAACAACTACATGAAGGTATGGTCTCTGCTTTCAAGATACTCCCCTTAAAAACTTACTAAGTGGATGGGGCCCACCCTCCTATAATCTAATATAGAGAGAGATGCTTCCAACCGAATCACAATCTCACAGGACGGGGGACGGGATGGCCCTCATTGACCTACTTTGAGTTATTCAGCCTGGAGCCCACCCCCCATGCACTCCAAGAGGAGGCCCGATGGAGACCTGCGGTTCCCAGAGCTGGGACTGGCACGGGTGTCTGGCAGGGGACAAGAAACAGCATATCTAAAAATAGCACATTTCTGAAGGGCTCTTTTCTCAGTGACACTTCACTCAGAAGGGCTGCCAGTTTCATTAGGTACAGAGAGGGAGATACCATGAGGGAAATTCCCCTTGAGCCAGTTGTTCAGGAATAGACTTTAATTTTTAAATTGGTTTTAGCTATGGGAAAAAAAACACTTGTGAATTTAAGAAAAATTCACAAGTAGGTTTTAAAGTATTGAACATGAAAAATATTTGAATTACATTATGCATTTGAAACTTGTAACAATTTCAGTCTAAGCCAGACATCAGCAGTAAAGCTGGTTTCTAACCAAATTAATGGTGTAAATGGAATAACAGAAGGACTAGATAGATAGGAACTGTTCTTATTTGGTCTCTCGAAGGAATTTATTTAAAATAAAGAACAGTTTGGATGTAACAGAGTATTATATAGTCCAGAGCAACACACAGAATTGACATGTTAGGAAACATTTTTGCTCTTAAAAACTCATTTACATTCTGCCTTCTGTGGAATTTAATATGCTAATTATAAATGATTCTCATACACTATTATTCAACTCAATTAGGCAAAAAATTTCAAACTTTAAAAAAATTGTGTTCTCATGGTAGTTAAATCCCACTCAAAATCATATATAATAATTGTAAATTTTTACTAATTCAAACAACCTCTTTTTCTCCTGCTTTTTTTGTTAACAGCGGGTTTTAGAAAACAAGTTTTCCAACTCTGTGGCTTGAGTTACAATCTCTTTTAAATTTACCACATATGTGATGAAAACTAACACCTATTTAAAATTTACTTTTTTTAGAACCTGTATTTATTTTTTTCTGACAAGTATTTAAGCACCTACTGTGTGCCAGGCTGCGCAGTGGGTACACATGCTCTTCCTTGAGCTTCCTCAAGTTTTGTGGACTTTCCCATCACTGGCAAACAGAGGTGGCAAGTATAAACCTCAACCAGGGAGGGTTGTGTGAGAAATCCATGTGCCAGTCACATGGCACTGCAAACTTAGCAGTCAACTGAACTTTACAAAGAGAATAAAACTAAATTTCAGGAAAAACTCCTTTTGCAGAAAATACGAAAAGTATATTTGCTTTCCTAAACATTTTTCTTCACAACAGCTATTTTGAAAACCACAGGTGAGTTTAATATAAAAATAGTTCTTATGAAAATATTAATTATAATCAATAACAAAAAAATTAATGTCCGACTTTTGAAAGTGAAGGCAGATGTAACACAAATTTCCTAAGCTGTAACTCTTTTTCACCGGGGAAAATTGTGTTTTGGTTTTACAATTCAGGTTAATCAGTGCCTTACATTTAAGTAATTCAAGTATTTAAAAAGCTTAATTTCTAGTAACAAAAAAATTAATGTCCGACTTTTGAAAGTGAAGGCAGATGTAACACAAATTTCCTAAGCTGTAACTCTTTTTCACCGGGGAAAACTGTGTTTTGGTTTTACAATTCAGGTTAATCAGTGCCTTACATTTAAGTAATTCAAGTATTTAAAAAGCTTAATTTCTAGTAAAATATAACTGCTGGATATGAAATTATTTCTACATAGAAACTGTATTTTTGCTTTAACTGCCCCGGAATAAATAAATGTCCGATTCAAGACTCACTGACTAAGTCAATCGGGCAGCATTATTCAGTGCCCAAAACCTCAGGCAGCTGACTGTACCCAAAGGAAAGAAAACAAAGGGACTTGAGAATTATAGTAAGTTATTTCTCCAATTTAGAACCTTACTTTGTTTTGGAAAAGATGGACATTAGAAGTATTATTCCCATCATTCCTAAGAAAATGAAAACACAACTTATAGTGTTTGTTTATTTTTTTAGAAGATGGGGTCTCCACTATGTTGCCCAGGTTGGGCTCAAGTGATCTTCCTGCCTCTGCCTCCCAAGTAGCTGCGACTACCGGCACACACCACCACACCCAGCTATAATGTTTATTTTTAATCTAACTATATCTACATAGAACACAAGTCTCCTAAGGCCAATCTCATATCTAATATATGTATCTCCTACTCTGATCTGTATCTGGTAAAGCAACAGACTTATCACTTAACTCATTTCAAGGGGATTCAAGTCATTTAGTTGGCTCTGCTGTCCATAAAGCTAAACTGAGTTTTGAATTAAGAACTGTGAAAACGCCTTATGTTATTGAAAAGATGTCTTCATCAAGTTGGTCTCTTCTGAATCACGGGTACGCGCACATGCGTGTGTGTGTCTAGTATGTGTCTATCAGGCCTTTTTAAAAAGGAACATTTAGTTTGGAAATAAGAAAAGTCATCAAAATGTAAGGATAATTTTTAATGAATTTTTTAAATTAAAAAAATTGTGTGTACTCATAAGAACAGCAATCATCACTGCTGAGCACTTAAGTGCCCTGATACAAGCACTTTACATGCATTATTTATTCACAAAAACCCTATGAGGTAGGCACTATCATTATTTTATCCCCCCTCCTCCCAAATAAATGATATAGACAGGAGAAGCAGGTCCCCAAGGTCAGACAGCTGTAAATGGTGGTGCTGGGATCTGAACCTGAACAGACGGGTCCAGGGGCTGTAATCAGTCACTACACTGTAATGACACTGCATGTCTCGACACTGGGACTTCATACTTAGGCTTGTTATACCAAAACCTGGACATCTTTTTCAAAAAACCCTCTACACTAAGCCAGTTCCCTCCCATCTTGTGAGCATAAATCGACTGTTTTATAAACTTAAAGGAAAGACTTTTCTTCATCCCTCTAATAATTCAGACGTGGCAGAGTGTGAGGCAGCAACCCCCATAATTAAACATGGAAAAAAAACCTTCCAAAGATAGCAGGGAAATAAGGATTTTAAAAAAATACTAAAGATGCTATCATCAAAACTAATTAACATTAAGCACGATAAGAAATAAATAAAAGTTTTCTGAATTCAGACATAAGAACTAAATGTGTTTTAGAAGGTTTTCTTCTCCATTACTTCTCCCAAACACTATTAAAATAAAAGTTCACAACAGGAACAAAACTGAAGACAATTGGCCTATGTCTTAGAAACCTGTGATACTTTCTACGTAAAATTATCACCTAAAGTATAGATAACCTAGCAGGATATTCTATGTAGCTCCTGGGTGGGCGGAGGAGGAGGAAATGTGAACTGCAGGCCCTCGGCAGTGCACACGGCCTGCGGTTTCAGCTGGAGGGTACTACTCAGATCGGAGTTCCTGAAAGGCAAACCTGTGGACTGTGGGTGGCAGAGCAGAAGCTTCTAGGAGCCTTTTTCTTCTAAACAAGCATCTTCTCTCTTTTAGCACAAGGAATGTAACAGTGAGAAGGAAAAAAAACTATAACATCCTTAATGCCTACAAAGTACCAGAAAATAATTTATAGAATTATTTACTAAACAAAGACATTTGTGAACTTTCTACTTCAAAAGGCCAAAGCCTGGTGAGGTGGTACCTGTCTGTAGTCCCAGCTACCTGGGACGCTGAGACAGGAAGATTGTTGGAGCCTAGGAGTTTGAGATTAACCTGGGCAACAAAGTAAGATGCTGTCTCTTAAAAAAAACAAACAAACAAAAAGCCAAAACAAGGGAGAATTCTAGTGAAAATCTTACCATTTGTATTTGTAAATGGAGATGTACAACACATGCCTGCAGTTCACATGTGAATATTAGGCCTGTCAATTAAATGTTACTTACATTTAAAGCAGCTTCTCCACACTTTTCAATGGCTGCAAGACCCTGATTATGAATGTGTGTCTCCAGCAGTTTTTTCAACTCTCCTAGGCCATCCTGGATTCTAGATACAAGATTATACATGCGCCCCAAGTCTGAAAGAAGAAGGAGCCACCTTTATGTGCCGAAGAAACTCTGCATAGCCATTCCACTAATTATGTATTTATATTGAGATGAAAGATATTCTGAAATAAAATAACCATGTTTTTAGGCCTTAATAATTAAAAGCACTTAATTATCACCCAGTATTTTCTATTTGGTATATTTTGCTTAAAAAAATGAAGTTATGCTATTGTAAAAGTATATTTTTCCCCTTCTATGAGAACCACTAACACAAAAATAGAGAAAGAAAATCTATTATCAGAAACTGTATCTAATGATTCCTGAAATTCTCAAGATCAAGATAGTATTTATGGCTGACACATAATAGGCACTCAAATATTTGTTTTTAAAAAATGAATACATTTCCACCAAATTGATACTAATTAATCAACACTTATGTGCACATATAGTAGTAATTATTCATCAGGTGTTGGGCAGGTGGGAGGGGGAGGAGGGGATGGGTATTTCACACCTAATGGGTGCGCGCTGTCTGGAGAATGGACACACTTGTAGCCCTGACTCAGGCGGGGCAAAGGCAGTATACGTAACCTAAACATTTGTACTCCCATAATATGCTGAAGAAGGGAAAAAAAAAAAAAAATGAATAATTTAAAGGAGAATATAGGTATCTACCTCAATGATACAAACAAATGAGGCACAAAAGGGTCCCCCCATTCTTCACTTCATGTATGTATGGCACATAGTTAATTTATGAGGGCCAAAGAAGAAAAAATCCTAAATCCAAACATTAATCTTTCACTGAGCCCCTAATATGCCCCAGTAAAACATGAAAGTGGTTAAGGGAAATACAAAATAATATTCTTCTCATCTCAGAGAATTTCCAAAGGAAGAATAGCCAAAACATTAGGGGTAGTAGTATCATTTCATGCTGACATGTACAGAACAAGTCATATTCCAAATTAAGCTGAAAAGATGCTCTTCCCTCCAAGTCACAAGGAAATCCTCTCCAGAGGTCTGAAATCAATACACAATATATAGACGCATGCGCGTGTGAGCATCTTTTAAAAAATGACTGACGTGGGTAAGGAATGCTGTTGACGCAGAGTCCAGAATTTCAATCGATTTCAAAACTGCAGATAATAAGTACCTACATTTCATGAGAGTTAGTGGCTCACCTTCATTTTTGTCAGCATCCAATAAATTCTGAAATTCTGTGTGGAAAATTTCCAAGTGTTTTTCAATGAGGACTTGCTCACATTTCCTTGCTAATTCATCTTGTGTGCTTTCGTGAAGATAAACCTGAACTCTTCGTTGTTCCTCAAGCAGACGAGCCTCTGCCTGGAAAGAATTCATTCAGATGAATGGTTTGGATTCATGCGCAAAGAATCATTATGTGAATAATAGCAAATTAAATTTACAAACCTACCCTAATAAAATATGATTAATGAAAAAAGGGAAGAGGTGTTTTGATTTTAGGGTAAATGACAACCATATTTAAACCACTAATATGTTCCATTTTCTCTGCAATATATATCTCCATTTCAAATTCCTCTTTAAGTGTCCTAACAGTAACGGTTCAAGAGTCTTTGCATCAATTTTTTCCTTTGGGTAAGTAGTATTTCATCTTTTTAAGATAATATTCCTATCTGACATCCTAATAAACCTATGGGTCTTCTCCTGGACATGAACACCAAGTTAAGATGCCTACTTTTGATTGAAACCTACTTAAAGAGTCACACAAATATAATATCTGAAATGACCACATAGAAATAATCACTAGCAGTTAGACTTTTAAAAAAATTAAAGAAAAACATTAGAGCCTTCTCTTGCTGATCACTGAATATGTACCTCTGAAATCTACTAGGTTATTTATGCATCTCAATTTCTTGCATTTCCCTCTAAGGAAAAGAGGAAAACAAAGATGCAATATAACAGCAGCAAAATTAGTACAAGTCAGTATATTTTACAATCTGCCATCGGAAATACACGTGGTGTAAAGTGTCACTGGGGAACCACTAAATTATCAAAGCGAGGAAGAAAATTCACCAATAATCTCAAATTATTCACATGATATGAATAAAGAGACAAAAACTATATTTTTTGTAAATATTGTAAAAATGCCAATATTTTCCAAAATGATTTACAAATTTGGTATAATTTTAAAGAAATCTGGAAAAATTGCAACTGGAAATGAATAAACACTCAAGAGCCAAGAAAACATAAAATGAAAAAATGACTAGGCAGGACTTGTACTATCAAGAATGAACAACAGTGAGACAGCTGTTTAGACCACAGCACAGAAGTTAAAATCTTACTACACGTTCTAAATAGTTAAATGTGAAACATAAATTTGGAAATATCTGTAGGTATCACAAGGTCAATATCCTTAATATATAATGATCTCCAACAAATCAGTATATATATCCAAATAAAAACATGAGAAAGGAAAAGGAACAATTCACAAATGAAGAAATAGAAAAAATTTGAAGTTATCAAATTTCCAATACGAAATAGTTAAATTATAGCATATTCAGTTAATGAAATACCATTATCCACTAAAATAAACATAAAATGTTAATATAACAAATAATTAGTGAACAAGTTACAAAAAACCTAAAGCATTATTCCAGTTTGGTTTACATACGTAATCAGCAACAGTGCCCCAGGCTTATAGGTTTATGTTATTTGTATTTTCCAGGAAGTCTACAACTAACGTGTAGTTTTGTTTTTCTGATTACAAGGCTATTTTAAAACAATAAGAGACTTTATATGCTTTAACTCAAAAAGTTCTAAGTTAAGATCCTGCTACTTCATATCCAGTGTTTTGTTAAGCTAATAACTCCAGGACAAAAGCTGGTGAAATAGAGAACATGCAAACCAAATAGCACCACTTTTTCTGCTGTGTTTAACCTGTTTTTTGAAAGAAGATAATCATTTTAGGTGGCAAAACAGACTTTTACTCCTTCCCAAGTGGAAGATTAGGCTTTGACGCCACTGCTGACTGAGCCTCTGAGGAGCCCAACTTTCCACCTCTTAGCTTTCTACAGACCATTCCTGCAGGGCTGAGTGGGCAGGAGGGGCAGACAGGCACCTAGGTGGCTAGAGAAACAGCCACAGCCAGAGGGGCCGCAATAGCTTATTTTATATATTGGTAAAGAAACCAAGGTCCTAGGTTTTTTTTTTTTTGAGACAGAGTCTCACTGTGTTGCCCGGGGTAGAGTGCCGTGGCGTCATCCTAGCTCACAGCAACCTCAAACTCCTGGGCTCAAGCGATCCTACTGCCTCAGCCTCCCGAGTAGCTGGGACTACAGGCATGCGCCACCATGCCCGGCTAATTTTTTTTTTTTTATGTATATATTTTTAGTTGTCCAATGAATTTCTTTCTAATTTTAGTAGAGACGGGGTCTCGCTCTTGCTCAGGCTGGTTTCGAACTCCTGAGCTCAAACAATCCGCCCGCCTCGGCCTCCCAGAGAGCTAGGATTACAGGCGTGAGCCACCGCGCCCGGCCTGGTCCTAGGTATTGAGCATCATTTGGTTTTAGAAAGGACATCCATTTACATTCTTCATTGATTCCAAGTCAAATAAGCTCTTGGTCATCACTGTACTTGGCAGATAATTGTATTAGAACATCACAATCGAATTCAGATGACTAAATGAAATTAAGCAATTAAAGACTGCCCCATTAATTCTATTAGGATCAGTTCCCAGTCAAAAAAAAAAAGGTAAGCAAATTAACGAAGCAAGGTATGTTTTATTTTTACAGTCCTCAAAAAATGACATTAGAAATCTAAATAGTCACACAAACTTTTTGTAATCCAGATTGGTCTCAATCACATGAGATAGTAAGATATTAAAAACACTAACATGGCTTACAGTTGTTAACTCTTCAAAGCTATCCTTAGAAAGACAAGCCAAAAGTCTCAAATGCTTCCACTAAAATGCTCATGACAACAGAGAAAAGTGAACACAGACCCGCAGAGTATTTGGTGTCTAGCCCTAATTGGCTGAGGAAAGCAGAATATTTCTTGAGGTTCATGCTTTATCTCAATATTGTTCATGAGTTTTGCATTCTATTTCCTGACAGAATGTTTGTTTTATTATAAACATAATTTCTCCCTAAATTATTGAATAAGGTTCGCCACCTTTAATCCTGTGGTTTTACATCCCTTCAGGCACTTACTGGAGGTTCTGTGTAATGTATATTCGTGGTACCAAACACATCAGGCTTGCTGTTTGCCACACACTATTCTAAGCATCTTTTTATAAATAAACAAATAAATAAATCTTAATCTCATTTTAAATTTTTTAAATAAATTAAAGCTCATTTAATCCCCGTTATTACCTATTATTATTCCCATTTTACAGATGAGGAAATTGAGGAACAGAAAGGTTATGATCATCCCCCTAGTAAAGGGTAGAGTGGGGATTTAAAACTAGATTAATAACCCAGTTTGGACACAATGCAATAGGATAAAAGCAAAATATTCACATGGTTAGACCGCAATTTTATGCTTATCAACTCTCTGCATTATGGACTTTCAAAATGTGATGAAGTCATGTTTGGTATGAGCCAAGCAGATTCAGGTCAAACTTTTTAAGTCCTCTAGAAAAGAATCCCCAGGATGTAGGAAGCATACTGCTTCCTTGAAAGGAGGGATCATGCTGGATTGGAAATATCCAGGCCATTAGAAATCTTTGCTCCTCAAGTTGCCTTTGGTTTCAGACCTGATCTTAAAAACAGATTTCCCTATTTGGGAGTGCTTACGTAGCTCTGTCCTAAAAAGCTGTTTTCCTTGCACCAGAGTAGTACTACCTTCATCAGTGTGAATAAATGAAATGACCACAACTCGTTAAGAAGTCCACAAGAACAGGCTCCTACCGCTATTATGGTAAGAGGATCCCGGTAAGAGGATCCACTTTCACGACGTATGGTTTTAAAAGAATCATCATATATAGCAGAGTTCAATAATAGATGTGTTTATGAAAACTACACTGTCAAACTAAAAAATGAAAGAACAGGCAATGCTAAGATTCAAAACAGATCATGTTTCAAAAGTTCGTTTGTCAGGCAGTTGTTTGAAACTCTAAGTGAGCTAGTTAGGTTCCAGATGAGTAAACAAAAGTCAATTTAACCCATAAAAATAGACACAAGGACCTATTACTATTCTAAGTATAAAACTTCTGAACAGTTTCATTTTTCTTAGATTTTGAGATATTAGAAATTTGTTGAGGACTTTCAACTTCAAACTTCTAAGCCCCACTTATAACCACTATGTCCTATAGGCAAATACATTCAGGATATTACAAACTGGGTAGGACTTTCTCCACGTGGTTATAAACTTTCTAAGTTGACTTACTAACTTCCTATCCTAGCATATGGAAAAAGGGATTCCGCAGTCCATCCACTCTCCATGTGAGTAGGGAATAAAGGGCAAAGCAAATATCAGACTCAGTGAGACCCAGAAGCCCTGGAAATCTCCTACTACATCTAGTTCAAGAATCACACCTGCTGCCTTTTTTTGTAAATAAAGTTTTACTAGAACTCAAGCACATTCTTTTGTTTATATAAGCTCCTTGGAGAATCAGAAGCACTTGTACTCACTAAAGACACTATAGGACAACAATGCACCACCTATGATTTGTGAAGAAAGCTGCATATGCTAAAAACAACAACTTGAGTAGCAATGACTTTTTAACTTAAGTCTACTTTAAATACTATGTTTAAGCTTACCTTTTTCATATATTCAGTAACTGGGTTCTGCTGCAAGAATTCAGTACTCTCTCTGGTATAAAATCTCTCTGTGTCAGCCAAAAATTGAGACTCAAAGGATTCTTTATACACTGTTAACGTAGGGCCCTTTGCAAATGCATCATCTTCATTCAGCCCCAATTCCACTAGAAATAAATATGAACTATATTTCAATTACCCTATTTTTTGTTATATTTCACAGAATATACTTGGGTGTAGCATTCAGTTTAACCTATGCTTAACAGGCAAATGTGAAATAGCAGGACATAAGGCAACTCTGTTATTCACTAGTACTAAAGTCCACTCTTTCCATAAAATAAAAAAGAAAAAGAATCCAAGACATATAAAAAGCAAGTAATTCTGACCCATGGCCAGGTATGCCTCAAAATTACCATGAAGTTCATTTAGAGAACTTTTATATTTCTAAAAAGAATGACTAATTTTAAATTTTCAAAGAAATACAATGCTATCCAAGTTTTTAAGATACTGCATTACTTTATCAATTTCTCAATCTCAATTTTTTCAAGGTGATATAGATTTCTGGTTATCATTCAGCTCAAGTAATGACACTCTGTCATATTGTTTATCCCGTAATTCAGTATGAGACCAGAAAAAAAAAAAGATGCAAATGTCTATTTAATCAAAATTTCCTTAAGGCACAAGGATCAAACAACTATTATGATGGTTAAAATAAAATCACATTGACCTAGAGAGAATTTTAAGTATCTTTATAAATGCTAACAATATTCTTGATAATATTAAAATATTTTAAAAATGAATCTGTTAAATGCAGCAGTCCCCAATCTTTCTGGCACCAGGGACCAGTTTCATGGAAGACAATTTTCCATTGGTGGGGGAGATGGTGAGTGAGCAATGCGGAGCAGCTGTGAATACAGACGGAGCCTCACGCGCTTTCTCCTGCGGTGCGTAGCCTGGTTCCCAAAAGGCCATTGACAGGTACCATTCCGCGGCCTGGGGGACTGCAGTGTTAGAGTACTGTTAACTGCCATTTGATATGAACACTCCGAAAAAATTAAAGGGAAATTATTTACCGTAAGACTGTACAACTCCACTAATCAGCCTTGTATTGATGGTTTCACCATTTCTTTCCTTTTCAATCAGTTTTAAAACAGCATTTGTTACCTTTAGAAATGATATAGAAAAACATTTAAAATATATAAATCACAGAATGCTATATATATTACTACATATCTGTTAAACATTCAAAGCCATTCAACAATGCAAGATGAGAGATACCCTGAGATACTCCAAAGGAGTGAGGAAGACAAAGACTAAGAGATGAAATTGGTACGGGATGTTAAAAGGAACACACACCCACTCTCTCTCTCTCTCTCACACACACACACTCTCTCTCACACTCACACACACTCTAACACACACATGCACTCACACACACACTCTTACACATACACTCACACAAACACATGCACTCACACACTCACACACACACACTCACTCTCAAACACACACAAACACACGCACGCTCTCTCACACACACTCTCATACACTCACACACACACTCTCACATACACACACACCCTCTCTCACACACACACACACACACACACACACACACACTCTCACACAAGTAGGTACCTGTTTATTCAATGGCCTGAACAGACAATCTCTCCAAGTCACCAATGCAAGCTGGATAAAAAAGAAAAAAGAAAAGTATAAAATGTCTATACTTTCCAAAGTATTGAAGTCACAAGAAATAACCTAAATCCCAAATTATTTTATCAAAATTTCTGTATTATAACTTGGTCAAAATCTATTAATATTATCATGATGAAATCAAAGAGCCACTCTATTAACAACTTCAAGAGGCATCAAAGTACAGACATTTATCAGCTCACATTTTAACGGTTAAGATAAAAAGAAAATTTGGATTCAAGGAGAATATTCATAACAACTTAAAGGGCAACAGCAGAGTCAATCTATAAATTTGTTCACTGAACCAAACAAATTTAATTTTGACCTAACACACTTACTAAAGACAATTTCATTTATTACCCTAGTTTCCTAATGCTCAGTAAAACAAATTATAGACTATAAAAATCTACCAAGTTCTGTATGGTGATTGAATACACTTTAAATGGATGCAGTTTATTGTACATAAGTTATTCAGATTTCCCATTTTATGTGTGTGTATGAAAGAGAGATGCATTTTTAAAGTGAGTGTACAAACATCATATGGCTTATTTTTCCACTTCTCTAAACTTCCCATAAGAGTTGTATCAGAAAATTAATTACTATAAAATGTTCCCAGAAAGAGAAATGTTAGAATTCATACAGTAAACCGTTAGGAAAATTGTTCTCAGTTAAAATAAAATTCAAATTTATAACAATTTAATACACAAATACAAACTGTGAAGAAATTCATTTAAACATAAATGCCATCAGTCTTCTTTTTCCCAAATTTAACTATAAACACAACTGGGTTTATGTAAGATACGTATTTCTGAAAAGATTATATGTGAATTTAATCTATAGAAAAAACTTTCAAAATGGTATTTCTTTTAAGAAAAAAGAAATCGAAGGAAAGCAATATTTAAGAGAAAAATATTTTTAATGAAGCATGAACAATGTATACTCAAGTTTAGTATCAGAATAAAACTTAAGCTTATCATGTCCAAAAGGTGTTGGAAGGGAAGAGCCTCATTTTCCAGGAGTGAGGAGGGGTGAGAGGTGGGTAGGGGGACTGTTTTGAAAATAACTTTTCCCTGTACAAATTCTTTGTTGCCATTCTCTGACTCTTCAGACCTCTTTAGTGTAGGAGGGAAGCAGTAGTAAAAATGTAAAGCAGGTGGCTATGAACTTCTAACAAAGATATACTATACTTTTTAAAAATAACTTTGTTTCAAACTTTTTTCTAAATTAAGATACCCTTGGACAGGCCTAATCTGACTCTAGATGGATTTGTTATGTCAAAGGAATAAAGAAAGAAAAGTCAGGCAAGATGACAAAGCAGGAATAAAGGTAAGCCAAAGACCTTTTTAGAAGAACAGATTTAGGAGAAAAAAATCTTGCTGAATCACTTTAATATATTATAATAATAATGAAGTTAATTTCTGTCCTCTGGTTGACTTGAGAAGAAACTGACAACTTTCTATAATTTGCAAAAAAGTAAAAGTTAATAATTTGTCATGAAATAATTTTGTGACAAAGCATCACCATTTACTGGAAATTCTGGAAAATACGATCAGGATCATCTGTAAGAACTGTTCCACTGTGTCAACTGATACCCAAGCTTCTAAATGAATTCAACAGGCTCACTGGAATAGCACATATTCCCTCTGTGTGCTATTCCAGGGCACCTAGGTAGGAGTACTGATTGGCCTGAAATTTATGGCTGTATGTTGTATTTCAAAATAGTGCACTTAAGGATGTAGAAAGTATGGGTTTTGAAAGCAGATTAAAAAAAAAAAGATGAATCTTGACAAACCTACTCTATAAAGTATCCTTGTACTTCTTTATGTTTTCTTTAACTGTTGTTGAAACACAATACAGAAAAAGTTAAAAAACTGTAATGATGTTTAGGAGTGTGTGATGTTATCGTAGGGTACACATGGTACTTCAGATCAAGCAGGTTTCTAAAAGGAAATCAACCAAGAACATGATGATTCCTACACTGATAACTTTATGTCTCAGGAAAGCATTTGTACATGAAAAAGAAAAGGGGAAGTACATTATCCATTCCATTACACATGCATATTTCAAAACAACATGTTGTACATCGTATGTATACAATTTTTGTCAACTAAAAATAAATAAAATGTTGAAAAAAGAAAAGAGGACATACAAAAACCTCAAATCAAAAAACTTAGAAAGTTTTATCGGAAGTATGTACTTACATAACAAAGTATCATTATGAAGCAATAAGCATTTTTTGGTACAGAAACTATGCTACATAAATGATAAAAACTAGTCATACATCTGAGATACATTATGTTTTTCTTTAAATTTGTCAAAAGCAAAGCAAAAATATTGCTATACAGCAACACTCTTGGATTTGGAAATAACCTCGCTACACAGAATTTGACATTTTAACAACACTGGTCCAAAAAGGGTACTGTTTATCTGACAGCCTATGAACAGTCTGTCTGACTGTTCTGTTGTTCTGAGTCCTCTTGTAATTGGTCTAGAAGGCTGGGTCTCAAACTGGAGTGTGCATCCGAATCACCTGGAGAGCTTGTTAAACAGATTGCTGGGCCCTGTCTCCAGAGTTTCCAATTACATAAATTTAGGATGAGGCCTGAGAATTTGCATCTCTGACAAGTTCCCAGGTGACACTGATGCTGCCGATTGGGGATCATGCTTTGAAAACCCATGGGCCTAAAAAACCTGGGATGACTGAAGAAACATAATAATGAGGGTGATTTCCTGAAGCAGGGTTTCCCAGACCGCAAAAATACACGAGGGCCAATCTTTAGGGCTTGAGTCTCAGGTAAGGTACCTGATTTGCCTGGGACTGCCAGGACTTAGGACTTCCAGTGCTAAAATTCAGGCAGTTCCAGGTAAAATGTGATGGTTGGGTTGAATAATTAAAGAAGAAACTTTTAAAAAGTAAATGCAGAAGTGTGCAAGTTGTATCTTAAAACACCAACTTACCTACACTTCTACTTTATTACCACAAAATAATTAAGGGTCACTTACTGATGACACAAATAAAATTAGCTTACTGTTCTGAAAACAGCTTAGTATTTGCCTAGATCCCCTCATTAAAAATTCACATTTAGGGCCAGGCACGGTGGCTCACGCCTGTAATCCTAGCACTCCGGGAGGCCGAGGCAGGAGGATTGCTTCAGCTTAGGAGTTTGAGATCAGCCTGAGCAAGAGCGAGACCTCGTCTCTACTATAAATAGAAAGAAATTAGCCAAACAACTAAAAGTAGAAAAAATTAGCAGGGCACAGTGGCGCATGCCTGAAGTCCCAGCTACCCGGGAGGCTGAGGCAGGAAGATCGCTTGAGCCCAGGAGTTTGAGGTTGCTGTGAGCTAGGCCGACGCCACAACACTCTAGCCCAGGCGACAGAGCAAGATTCTGTCTCAAAAAAAAAAAAAAAATACACATTTAAAAGGTTTTTAAAAACATCTTACCGAGTAGATCTCATATATTCCTTTTCGTCCTTCGTCACATTCACGGCGAACCCAATGTCTATTGAGGTAGGCACAAATTCCATTCAGCACTTTGCTTGAAAATCGATAATCTTCCCATTGTTGAGTGTAGAATTTCAGTACACTCTCATCCATCAAATCTTCTCCGTCCTAAAAACAAGTTAACTAAAACTTTAAGATGACTAATTTGTCACCTAATAAATTAAAGATAAATGTTAATAAAAACAAATCCATTGTGTCAGAATATATTGATGCATATGGTTTTAGAATGGTTCTTTAAATTACTCTGCATACAAAAACATGCTAATTAATATAAATTCTCACAAGAACATAGCAAAAATATTTTATCTCAAACTAAGCTGGAACTTTTTCATAGTATTAAATATGCATATGTATACTAAAAAAGTACCCTGAATTTTTAGAATGAGGATAATTCCCTCTTATTAAGAAATTCACCTCAAAATCTCTATTTTTGATATTTTCCCTGTTAAAAAAAATTAACATGTCCTAATAACAATTTAGACCATGAGGCCAATACTTTTCCATTTTTAAATGCGTCTTCTTCCTTCTTTAAATTTACTTAAAAATTATAAAAATGTATAGCTTTTTGTGGTAATCTGTTGCATTTTTATAAAAATAAGTACAATGGTGCATTTCTACTTTAACAAGACTGTGTGAAGAAAATGTGCATTTACCAAAATTATTTTTACTGAATTTCCACAACTTAAACCACAAATTTTTATTTGAAGGAAACTAACTTGAAATTTTTTCTTAGGTATTAATGGTATCTACAAAGTCAGTCTCACCCTTTGAAAATCAAGCACTGCACACCACTCGATGGGCTGCACAGAGAAGCACTGAAGGGAAGGCAAGAGGGGGGGGGCTCCCCCGGGGCAGGGGGGCCTGGGGCGAGCCTCGTGCCTTCTCTCCACCTTGGTGTCTTCAAGTGCAAACTAGAAGGTCTTAACAGACCTGAAGCTCCATAAATACATGGGACACAATGATCCAACAATCCATGTAAAAACCTCAATGTATCTTGACACAACCAAATTTTGGTTCATTTAAATTTAAATAATATGAAATGAACTTAAAAATGAAAGCTAAGCTATTCTGGATGATGCTATATGACCTTTTTAAAATGCAAAAATATGATTGATGGCATAGCTACGGATACTTTTATACAACACAAATATACTGTTTCTCACTTTACTATTGAAGATTAATCACAACATTCACTTTAAAGTGTTGTGAATAAAAATACAAAGGCACATAGGCTGACACCGTTTGGGGAACATGAAAATGACACTACATGAGTCACAATTTGTGGTCAACCAACTACAGTCTGTTATAATAACGTCTAAGTTTCCGGTTAGCTTACAAAATATATTAAGAAAAACAATTTTGCAGCATGCTGAAATTTTTTTGCATGTTATCTGTATAAATCAAAAATCTTTAAGATATATACACAGAAGAGTCCCTGTAAATTTCCCAGGGCAGAGAGTAGAGATGTCTTCACTCACTCTACGTAATATGTTTGGCACCAGACAAAGGAGCCCCCCTTGCCCATCCTGCGGCTGACTGTAAGGCCTTACACTGCCTTTGCTACAACAGAGGATGAAGACTGAGGAAGAAAAAGGCAGAAGATGAAGGGAAAAAGACTCCATCACTGCCCAAGTGAAGGCCTGGAGCAGGATGAACCCATGCTCAAAGGAAATGGATATTCACAGTGAAACTCTTCCTAGTCAAGGGCACAACTTCACCGCACTTTTGAAACCTACTTCGTGACCATGTGTAAAAAGCAAGATCACATTTGAAAAATGTGATTACCAAAGACTAAGCAACCTTATAATTGTTTATACATTTTGACAGGAAATACCACACTGGGTTCAAAATAAAATATAGGTAATTTGAATATATAACTATTTGTTTTAAATGAAAAGGTTCATCAATCTCTAACAACCAAATACAAATGGTTAATAATTTAAGGAAAGTACTATTATGGTGTAAGGTATCAAAAATTTCTATTAATAATTTTATTTAAAAAACTGAATATGGTTTATGAAGGTTTTATTTTCATAATGGGTAAAAGACTAAGCAATACAAAAACATCTTCACGTACATTAGTGCCTACAGCAATGAACAAGTAACAGTGAAGGATTATTTAGCATTTAAGTTAGACCCACTACTTCACTACTTTTTTTTTCATTGTATTATAAATGCTTAGTATAAATGTAAAACATCTTACCTTGAGAAGATTTGTCAAGTAATTTTTCAAAAATTCCTTAAGCCGTTTGTACAATTCCAGGCCAACAAACTGAGCTCCTCCAGGCGTCTGGCCCTTTTTGGATTTAGAAGGAGGGACTCCGGCTCCTCGTGCTTGGTTTGACTGGTGTACGCTAGTACAGTAGTTATAAACGTGGCTTGGAGAAAAGTTAAGGAAATCAACATGCATCATAGGTGTTAACAGTGATTAATATGAACATACTATATTTCATTATCAGTACATTCCCAATATACCAACCAAAACCTGTTAAAAACCAGAGAGAAAAAAAGATACCATTCATACTATCAATAAAGCTAAACGTCAACAAGCCCCATTCACAAGGTGTTCCCTACGCCTAGAGAGCAAAAGAGCTAAGAAAGGGAATGGAATGTTCCAGAGGAAGGCTGCCAAGAAAAAATTCAGACCTTTTAGATTACTTAATGTGATCGATCTTGTGGAAAATTGTCCCAAAAGTGTGTTTTCAGAAGGTATGAAAAGAATTGGCAATCGGTACAACGGAAAGGTTGCAAATGAAAAAGAAAAAAGCAATTATTTACTCCAGGAAAAACAAAAAGCTAAAAATAATTATCATCTATTATGATGCTTAGCTATAAATAACATTTCCAGAAGCACGCATTCTAAATACCGAAATAATCAAAACTTTATTTTGAAATTATTTAGAAATGGATTTAAATAAAACATTCTGCAGATGAAAAGCAGAAATGGCAAGAGAACCAAGTCCTCCTATTACTATAAAGAGCCACAGACATCTGAAACTGACCAGTCAACAGCAGCGGTGTCCACACACTACTGAGACATACGGAGATGCATGCATGGCAGCGGAGACAGCAACCGTCCAGAACAGCTGCATCAGCAGGGGGAGCGGAAAGGGAATGGGGAGATAAGGGTGGGAAGGCAGAGAACCCCTGTGCTGTTATATAACCTTCAAATACGATAAGCTTATCTGCATGTATTATTACTTGGATAAGATTAATAGAAAGACACTTACACTGACTCAGAGAAAGATCAGTAAAACAGCACACACACAATATTCTGGTATACTTAAGAATTTACTATATGAAGATACTTCAGTGGGTAAAGATTATTTAATAAATAGCATTTGGTTAAGATATTTCTAAACATTCCATATTCCAAAGTATATTACAAATGGATTAAGAATTAAAATATACAAACCAAAACCATAAAACCAAGAAGATATAATAAATACAATGCTTACCTGTTCTCAGGTTGGAGAGGCCCTTTCTAAGCAAGGTCATACAAATACTTAATCTGAAAATTTGAATATATTTAAATAAAAAAACCCTTACAGAGTTACTATCTTTAATAAATTAAGGCAATTTAAAACAATATGAACAATCAATCTCTATGGAAACATACGCAAAGCATATTGACAGAAAATTCAAAAAGTAAAGGAAATAAATATTGATGGCCAAGAACTTAATAAGATACTTAACTTCAGTAGTAATCAAAGAACTTTATCTTAAAACAATAAATTTTATTAAATGTTTTGATTGCACAGAGAATCACAGATTACAATAAACCATCGTATGCTCATGACTCAATTTTGATAAACTTACTGTATTCCCACGCTTGTCTCATATTCCACCTACACTCACCCCCCAACTTTTAAGGAAATGAAACATTACAGATTATAACTGAAACACTATGTTCTCCTCTCTAATCTCACTCCTCCTTCCTTTCACCCTAGAAGCAAATGCCCCCATGTGTTGGTATATATCATTCCTATGAATGTTTTTATATTTCATTGGGTAACTATATGAAATATATTTTGCATGTCTTACATTTTTAGATTACACGAATTATAATATGTACATTTGCTTCTGCCACTTGTTTTTGGTAACATTTGAGATAGCTACAGGTGTATATAATACACCGTATAGTATATATTTACAACAATTTATTCTCTGGTTGATGGACCTTACTAATGATCATTTTAGCAGGTACCAATTTTTGATATTTACAAAGCTAGAAAGAATAGAACTAGCACGTCCCCTTGCATACATGTTACATGTACAGGTTTCTTGCAGCACAGAATTACCAAATGACAGGAGAGGTCCATTTTATTATATGTTGCCACATTTGCTCTATAAAAGCCGCACAGCCCCCAGCAGTGCATGAGTTTTACCACCCACAACCTCGCTGTACGTATGTTGTGGTTTACCATGGTCTTAATATGCAAATCTCTGAGTAGGGTGTGACTAAGCACCTTAGAGGTTTATCATTTTGATTATCTCTTCTGTATATTGTCTGCTCATATCCTTCAGTTTTTAAAAAAAACAAGTTTGCTCAGACATTAATGATGGGAATGCCAAATGGTACAACCACGTTGGAGAACAGTTTGGCAGTTCCTTATGCAAATCGTGGTATAGTCATAGAATAGAATATTACCCAGCAGTTTAAAAAAATAAACGGATACAAAAATCATGAATGAATCTGAAAGCATGTTGAATGCAAAAAAAGCAAGACATATATGATTCCATTTATATGAAGTTCTCAAACAGGCAAAACCTAATCTATGGACAGAAATTAGAAGAGTAATTTCTTCTGTTTCTTTGAAGGTGAAGACTGACCAAAGGGGACTTCCTGTATCTTGATTAGGGTGTTGTTTACACAAATGCATACGTCCCTCAAAAAAAATTCAAACCATGCACTTAAGATACATACATTTTGCATCATATAATTTCTGCTTTAGAAGCCGTCATATTTTAAAAAGGCGAGCATATAATGTTTCTGCTACAAACTGAAAAAAAAAATAAGTTCTCTTAGACTTGCAGTTTTTTGTTTATTGTGAAAGCCATCCTTGATCAATGATATATACCACAACTATCTTGTTTGTAGCATAATTTTTCTTTTTGTATATCGCTGGATGAAGAGAAATCCTTAATTTATCATCAAGTCTATCCAAATTTTCTTTTATGGCTTGTGTTTTGTTTATGAAATCCTCCCCTCCCAAAACAATAATTCTACTGCATTTTCTTTTAAAGATGATTCTCTCATTGAGGTTTCCAATCTTCCTAAACTTGAATATAATAAGGAAAATTTTATTTTTCTCTGTGTGGTTCAAAAACCACATAAGGAATGGTCCACCCTTTCCTCACTACATGTACTGCTACTTCTAGAAAACTGTCCATTCCAACTATATTTTCTAGTTCAGTCTTCTTTTAAAAAATTTCTGCTTTTTCTGTAATATCCCTTTATTTACTTTTAACACAGGCATACCTTAGAGACATTATGGGTTCAGTTCCAGAGCATTGCAATAAAGTGAACACCACAAAAGGCAAGCCACAAATTTCCTTTCTTTCCCAGTGCATATGAAAGTAATGTTTATGATATGCTGTAGTTTATTAGGTAATACCATTGCGTTTAAAAAAGTATATGCCTTAATTAGAAAAATAATTTATTGCTGAAAAGTGCTATCAATCATCTAAGCCTTCAATGAGTCCTAACCCTTTTTGCTAGTGGAGGGTCTTAGCCTTCAATGTTGACAGCTGCTGGCTGATCAGGGCGGTGGTTGATGAGGGCTGGGGTGGCTATGGCAATTTCTTAAAATAAGACAACAATGAAATCTTCCTTTCACAAAAGGTCTCCCTGTAGCAAGCAACGCTCTTGGATAGTATTTTACCCACAGGAGAACTTCTCTCAAAAAAAATTAGAGTCAATCTTCTCAAACTCTGCCACGGCTTTAACAACCTAGTTTATAGAATATTCTAAATCCTTTGTCGTCATTTCAACAACATGCACGGCATCTTCATCAGGAATATATTACGTCTCCACTCTTTGCTTATCCATAAGAAGCAACGCCTCATTTGTTCGAGTTATATCGTGAGATCACAGTGATTCAGTCACATCTTCAGGCTCCACTTCCGATTCTAGTTCTCTTGCTATTTCTACCACATCTGCAGTTAGTTCCTTCCTCCACAGAAGTTCTCAGCCCCTCAAAGTCATTCATGAGGGATGGAATCGACTTCTTCCAAAATCCTGTTTATGTTGATATTTTGACCTCCTCCCACATATCATGAATGCTCTTAATGGCATCTAGAATGGTAAATCCTTTTCAGAAGGTTTTCAATTTACTGTGACCAGATCCATCAGAATATTCACTACCTGAGGCAGCTATAGCTTTATAAAATGTAGTTCTTAAATAATAAGACCTGAAAGTTGAAATTACTCCTTGATCTATGGGCTACAGAATGAATGTTGTGTTGGCAGGCACGAAAACATTAATCTCCCTCGTACAGCTCCATCAGAGCTCTTGGGTGACTAGGTGCATTGTCAATGAGCAGTAATACTTTGAAAGGAGCATTTTTTTCTGAGCAGCAGGTCTCAACAGCAGGCTTAGAATATTCAGTAAACCACACTGTAAACAGATGTGTTGTCATCCAGACTTTGTTGTTCCATTTATAGAGCACAGGTAGAGTAGACTTAGCATAATTCTGAAGGACCTTGGGATTTTCAGAATGGTAAATGAGCGCTGGCTTCAATTTAAAGTCAGCAGCTGCATCGGCCCCTAACAAGAGAGTCACCCTGTCCTTTTAAGATTTGAGGCCAGGCACTGACTTCTCCCCTTTCAGCTATGAAAGTCCCAGATGGCATTTTCTACCAATAGAAGGCTCTTTTGTCTACACTGAAAATCTGTTGTTTTGTGTAGCCACCTTCATCAATGATCTTAGCTAGATCTTCTGGATAACTTGCTACTTTAACTTATACTTTAATGTGGAGATGGTTTCTTTCCTTAAACCTCATAAACCAACGCGTGCTAGCTTCAAACTTTTCTCTGCAACTTCCTCGCCTCTCTCAGCCTTCAGAGAATTAAAGAGAGTTAGGGCCTTGCTCTGGATTAGGCTTCAGCATAAGGGAATAATGTGGCTGGTTTGATCTTCCATCCAAACCACTAAACCTTTCTCCATATAAGCAATAAGGCTGTTTCCCTTTCTTATCATTCATGGTTCACTTTTAATTTCCTTCAAGAACTTTTATTTGCATTTACAACTTGGCTAACTGTTTAGTGCAAGGGGCCTAGTTTTTGGCCTATCTCAGTATTCGACATGCTTTCCTCACTAAGCTGAATCATTTCTAGGTTTTGATTTAAAGTAAGAGATGTGCAACTCTTCCTTT